AGATATAGCTACTCAGATAGCAAAACTTGTCCACTTCCTCTACTACTTCCGCAGTTGGGGTGAGACTATGTGCTGCGCAAATCTTCGAGCAACATTTTACACTTTGAAGGTGTAAAACGCAGACCAAATATGGGTACACTAGCTTTCAAATCATCCAGAAAAAGCTTACTACTTACCTGGATCCTCACTTAGTATCACAATGTCGTTTGTGTACTCTAGATCAGACAGTCTGCCTCCTGGGAGTATATCGACACCGCTCTCCTCGCATGTGGATAGGGCTGTTTCAAGAATTAAATCTATGACAGAATTAAAAGGAAACGGGGAGAGAGGGCAACCCTGACGAACACCACTTCCTGTGATGAACTCAGGTTAAAAAGTTCCGTAAGCTCGGACTAGACTTCGGCTATTAGTATAAAGTGATCGTAATATTGAAATTAACTTCTCGGACACACCTTTCAGAGCGAGGCAGCGCCAGAGTTTTGAGCGGTCGGCTGAGTCAAAACCGATTTCAGATCGAGAAAGACAGAGATTGATGGTCTATGAAACGAATGTCGATGCTCGAGAACTTGGTGAAGAGTGATGTGGTTTTGCGAGAGAAGGATCGAGATTTACTGCTGAAGGAGAAGTTAAATTTTACTAATTATCTATTTAGGCTTTAGAAGAACTTGACATGGAAAGACACATATACCTTGAGCAGAAAAAAGACAACCGCTTCTTCGGCGTCAGAAAGCAGTGGCCATCTGTCAACATGGAAGTAGAATAATTTACATCGAATGTGACTGGGAAGCAGAGTTGTCCGTTTCCATTTGAACCCTTACGCATGCACTGTGGTGTGACGGTTTTAGTAACGATCACTCGGCTACCCATTAGGTCTATCACTTAAGAAGGAAAAAGTAGGAGATATGAAGTGAACTAAACTAAATCTGCGTGGAAAGCGGGTTTGTTCATGGTCGCTCCTGGTGAAAACACTAAACCATCGCACCTGGTGTTTATAACCAGTAGTTAGTTGGATCACCTGCTGCTCACCAGGAAGCTTAATGCGACCTATACCAGTGAACGGTTTTGTAACGCCACAGATATTTACATGGGTGATGCTAGATGAGGTGCGCGTAGAAAACGTAGGAGAGTAAGTAACACTCTGATGGTCCAAATACAGATGAATTTGAAGGGTAGGAGAACAGTATATGGACAGAGAGACTAGATTCTTTATCAGAGCAACCACAGATGCATACGAGAAAGCCAACGAAAATAGAAACAGATCATAATGACAGAAAACAAGAGCGAGAACTCGCACTGGTGAACGATATTAAGTCCCAATAAGTGTTAAGATGAATGAGCGGACACTGTCAGGATTTCCACGGCGTTTCTCGTGGTTATTGAGCCATCGCTCGTGTACCCACATGTACACTTGTCTGCCTTCAGACTGTGATTAGGATTCTGAGAGGTCGACCAAAGCATCAGCTGTGGCAATCAAAAGCCGGACATATTTTATCCTCATCTTGACTGAAATTCTCTATGAAGGTAATCTCTGAAGAGTTCGCGTATTTCTCTCCATTTATGGAGATCAGTAAAAACACATTTTATAGATGAATTATTTTGAGGCATATTTTTGTGTTAGTGGACGGTACGAAATGGTACAATGCACGAATAAGTGCATGTGATACGGTCTCCGTATGCGTGAAACGTTGTATTGGAAAATTCATGCTAGAAATGTCTCTCGGTTTAAATGAATCGTATGTTTTTTTTCATCGTGTGAAAAATCCAAACATTTGGAGTTGAATCTCATGCACATTTTTATTGAACATGAAAAGTTGTATTCAGTTTCGCTGTTGGTAAATTCATAATCATGATCTATGCCTCCATTTTGTTATGCACAAGTACTGTTTAGCACAACTTAGTTGGTTCTGGGATTACTAAAGTGCAACCATTGAATACAAAACTATTGTTTCCTATCTGAAACCCGAAGGCGTATGAGCACGAGAATCGCGAAGATTGGGTATGCTCGTGGCCTGGTCAGGTGGTACTCTGTGTCTCCCAAGTATTTTGGACACTGGAAGTGCACGAGTTTCTCGAATACGGAGTCGAAGGATTGCAAAACTATCATCAAAAATTGGATCAACAAATGAGTGAGATAGTTCGTCTGGTCCGAGGTAAACTGAACGCGCAGCAACGCATCACTCTGGGCGCACTGGTCGTGATCGATGTGCACGCACGTGATGTAGTGGCGGACATGATCAAATTGGAAGTGACATCGGAGAACGACTTCAACTGGTTATCTCAGCTACGCTACTACTGGGAAGATGGGAATGTGAAGGCAAGTCACTTGGTCGATTCGTTTTTGAGACAAACATCCGCGATTGTACGAAAATTTCGCTCCAAAAGGTGTTCAAATCCAAGCAATCGCAGTTGCGCATTGTAAAGAATACCGTGTAAAGAGAAAGAGCTAAGCTGTACTTGAGGAACAGTGTGAGAGCCGGTTTCGACCGCTTAACAGTTTTCGAAAAGCTCTCCTATACAATACCCAGTCGGTTAGCCTTGACGCGTTCGGTAGCGTTTGGTTGATTGATTGTACATAATCCCGGCTTGCGTACTTTTGATCGAGTTGGGCGACTGCAAATTTGTCTACTGTCCTTCAATCAGTTAACTTACTTCCTTTTTCTTGTTGCACGATTGTCGCTTCATACGACACTCATTCATATCATCCAGTGCCTCTCAGACCGGAACACTGTATTTCTCTAGTCAGGCCCCATTCTGCTGAAAGGCGAAAAGATGAATAATTTGTGATAGGAAAACCTCTATTTTGGAGTGCAGCATATCAACTGATAGTTTGGCATCAAAAACTGCAATCCGATATAGTAATCGACGTGAAGATTAACGTGGTCTCGGTACAGAAAGATCTGGTTTGGGCTTCTGCTGACCCATTTCTCAGTCTTATTCGAAATATATTTTTCGGTCATAAGATGCAATGTCTGTGCACTATCTTGATCGCGGCGTTGGTTGAGAAGATTCTGTTCTTGCCAGATGAACACTGTTTCTTTTCAACGGTGTCCATATCAATGACGAGTGAGTGGGTTGGGTCAATCACCTGTAACCATTATTGTTGTAATAGTGGTAGTGACCGTTAGATCAGAAACACAACCCGGCCAGTAAAATCCTGGCGATCAATAAGATCAAAACCTTTACTGTCCTTCAGCCTGGCTTAACCATCAATTTGAAGAAAATCGCCAACTGACAGGACACGGATATTGTATCATATTTTGTGCATTATCGAAAATGTCATCATTACTTAACAAATTATGAAATATCCCCGGACTAATTATCCTAGTCAAAGTTCCATCCGATTTAGGGTGCTCGAGATTAATAGATCATAAACTTCATGGAATGGATATCTCACAGTATAATGTTCACATGGAGAATTGTTCTTGATTAGTTCTTCTGTCGAGATTCACTTGGCTAGAATTTACTGTGTCCAATAACTACAGTGAAAGAAGTTTGAATGAATTCGGAACTGAAAGCAGACAGTGATTCGTCCCGCCGAATTTAATTTAACTGTTGCTTATCATTTGCTCTCGCTCTGTCCCAGCTTTTCGTGAGACTTTTGAGTCTGACGAAACAAAAATTTTGAACGGTTTAAAAGGAAATGTGTTTTCTTTTTGTTTCGATTGATGCATTGTAACCGTCTCGTTTTCGTTTCGTGATTTTTCACTTCCGACAACCTGCGCTCATGAGACCTGATTTTCCGGATTCCCTGGCTTTTCGTTATTAATAAGCGTGAGAGTTTGTTCTTTTGGGGCTAAATGCACCAGAAATAAATGTACATGACAATGAAATTCTACTACATAGGCAGAATTGTCCCTATTTAGTGGCATATTTACATGTGGGCGTATTTTTATCCTTTCTTCTGTGAACCAAGATGATTTCGTTGGGTTGCGGATACGTTTTTCCATGTAAGTTCGTTTATATCTGTACAATTCACCTCACAAAATGCAAGTATTCTGGAATGCCTCAGGTGACTACCTCTATGCAGATTGAATCCGCAGTGTTTTCTCTTGATTGACTTGATAATGAACAATGACCAGAATGGAAGAACTAGGAAGTATCGATAATTTTCGTATGTGATGAACTGAAATTCATGTTCTGGACGGTACAACTCCATATAATCGGGAAAAGAAAGCTTGCATAAGCAAAACTTGAGCGATTGCCGCCACACTAACAAGAATATGATGACTATGCCATTATATTTCACTCGCATCTGAATCCAAGCTCAAAGAAATAAACCACCATACAGTTATATTTATTAGGAGGAAAAAGGTCCATTATTTGCTGGTGGACGATATACTGCCAGGTCTCCGAGACCGAAGCAAGTGACGTTTTTGTATCTTTTGAAAGGAACTGAAGGACACCCATAATCGATGTAGTTACTCAAGGCGTGTTACTCTTGGAAATGAATGAATTGTACTTTATACAGTACACTAAAGTGAACCGGGTTGCTTTATTTATATTAAATCCGATCGATTTTTATTCAACCATAACGATCACATTCTCATGACCGACAAACAACTTTGCATCTGTTTACATCAGGTTCGTTTGACGAATGCCACCGTGAACTACGCCTACGAATATTTGGGTAATTCGCCTCGACTGGTCATCACTCCGTTGACCGATCGGTGCTATCGTACCCTCATCGGGGCATTCCATCTAAATCTGAATGGGGCACCCGAAGGACCAGCCGGAACTGGGAAGACGGAAACCACGAAAGATTTAGCAAAAGCGCTAGCTGTTCAATGTGTTGTGTTCAACTGTTCCGATGGATTGGATTACATTGCTATGGGCAAAGTGAGTCCAACTCGGGCTAAAAGACTCCAGCCCATTACGCACAGTTTGACCGTGAGCACATATAGTATGCTAAATTTTATTTGGGCCACTTGTCTCGCAGAGTGTTCTATACAAGAAGCCATTTTCGACCAATTAGAAAAGACTCCGAATGCATCTGTAAAAAGGGAATTGTTTTCAAATGATCTCAATAAATACATTCCCGGATTGTGGGACGCTACTAACTTTTTGTCCCACTTCACACAATATTCATCTGCCATATTCTTCACACATTGGTGTTTACCGCCTTTTGCCCCGTGACAGAATGGAAAACTCGTTGTTTTCGTGCAAGTTTTCATACCAAAATCTGAATCAGAGTTAGTGTCTGACACAGTGTTCGAATGTGAGGAAACAGCAATCATAATTTCGCATGTTGGGGTGTGAATCGATACACTGTCCTGTAGAAAAATTCTCTTTTTGCCAAGTCCTCTCCGAATATTGGGAACAGGATCAACAAAAGATTTTCAACGTATGAGTAAGCTGTTTGAGAATTTCTGTCAATTGATAATTTTCGACAGCGAAAATGGTATCTTTAAAGATTTGCCACGATAACTACGAGTTCTGAAACCTTTGGTTACATCCTGTAATGAATAGTTTGTTCACCCATGTGGACGATCCTAACTTTCTTTCCTGATTTTATGTCATGTGTGCTCCTGCATTCGAAGCTCCATGTGGTCCTTAGTCAGCTATTTTATTTTTCTTAGCTTCTTTACACTCGATTGCGAGCATCTTTCAACTTTGTTTTAACGTTCTGACAATCAAATCTAGACAGTAATAGGTTCAAGTTCACCGCATTTACTAGTTAGTTGTTGGCAGTACGTATCGGTCTTCTCTTTACGTTCTCACGTACCTTTTTCTTTTCTCCGGCAGTTTTTCGAACGAGATGGGTAGTAAAGTTGTAAATTGATATTTTTGGATAGTTTAGCTTTAAATGCGGAAATTTGCGCGATTGCCTTCAAGCTTTTGTAGGTTAAAAGTTGTCCCTATTCGTGCGTGGATTTAAAAATATTGTGAAGATTGAACCACTGTAATTACATAGTGAAAATGTGCATATACAAAAGTATTAATAGCCACACGTATTGATTTTTGTGCCTCCCCCACACCCACAGTTTTTCTAACTGCTTCGTGGATTCGTTACATATCCAGTTGCAAGCTGTACGTTCGAGGTCGATCAGCAAAGCTCACACGTTTCGGTATCTATTCGTAAAATCTTCTCCATATTAGAATACAGATGAGCATGCTACATAGGTGTATGGTATCTAGTTTTGTCCCACTCCTTGTGGGAAAACACCTAAATGTTCCGCCCAAAACCCTTACTCAGGAAAAGTACTATCCAAGGAAACCTTTCTATTTTGATGAGGTGAAATCGAAAACCACCGGTGGAAATAGATCTGTATGGTGAAGCGATTCGAGATATGTGGCACTTCATGATGAGAAGAGGTTGATATTTGGGTGGTAAGCGTAAAAACTGAACAAATGGGATCAGTTACGGAATCAAATAACTCAGTCACTCCCTAAGAATTTTACGGCTTATCTACGCACACACACACGCAAACACATACATACCCATCTCCCTCTTTCAACACAAACCTGCCGCTGTTGGTGGTGGTGGTCATGACGAAATTAAGCTGAACGCGATCGTTCGGTTGAGAGTGAGTGTTCCACTGAGAATTTGGACGGTGACAATGTGCTGCATGAGTACCGTATTCCAGAACAAATTGGAGAATGTTTAATACGGCTCAGTAGCAATTCAGTTGTTCACGGTGCAACATTACCAATACGGGTACACAATAACTGATTTCGATTTGTAACCACATGTTCACTTTTAGGCTAGCACATACTGCGGTGCTGTTCATGATCCAATTTTTCAACCCGGGACAATAATGCTGGTTCCGTGCATGAAGAAATTCCACCTCACTACATTTGGCAGTTCGTTTTAGAGACACTCTTACCACTGACCGAAAAAAGATCTCACTATACGATAGTGGTCTGCTCTTATTAATCTGCATTTCGGGAACAGCTAGTATAAATATATGTATATATATATATATATATATTTAACACCAGCTTGAGACCAAGCATAGTGCGAACGCCAAAACAATAACAATAACGGGAGGGGGTTGGGATACAGAGTTTGGGGAAAAAGACGAATAAATGAAATAGTAATTTTTTGTGTTGTTTGCTGTTTATACGGGAAACGGGGTTTTGACAGGCAGACCGTACAGCATTCGCGCCACTGACTTCTATTCTAAGCCGTATCTCTCAGCGTTTCTAACTAACCACAATCCTCATCCCAACCTGCAAGGCGGGCTGCGCCAACCGAAGTCAAAGCTGCAGCAAGCTCCCTCATATATCTACGCCATGTCATTAACCGCCGCGGCGCTTCTTCCAGCCTTGCCCGGCACGTGCAAAGAGAGCACGGCGAGGAAGTTGATGGGCCGGTATACGCAATATGTGACCAAGCCATCGGAGTCGGTGTGGAGCGATTACTTCTGTTAGAGAACGGCTATCCACACCCAACACGCGAGGACAGACCTCGTCATTTCTCACCCGATGCTCCCACCAGACACGAACTGCTGGTATAGGAATTAGAAGACGATTTTGATACAGGAACCAACATGACACTGTTCCGTATGTTTCTATCATTCCCATTTTTGCTCATATCTCATATCTATCATTAATACAGTATGATGCAATGATCAACCGATGAGAATTATTTGCCCGCTTTTATTTCATTCACAGTTCTTTAAGGGGTTGGCATCCACAGGAGCCTGGGCCTGTTTTGATGAATTTAACCGGATTGAAATGGAAGTACTTTCAGTGGTTGCGCAACAAGTAGGTTGGTTTCTAACAATGTTTTTGCGAAAAGCTTCGTCACATCATTTTATAATCAGAAATGGTAAACAAATCTCGTACTTGATAGGTTTGTTTGTTCATAAGTTTCAATGACAAACATATTAGAAGTGGAATTGTAGTGGAATTCGATACCACACACGTGCGCGACCGACGCTTTTATACAATATGCGCTCGGCCAGTTAACCCCAAACAAACAGTGATATGAAACAACTTAACTTAGGCTAACTAAATTATCACCTGTACCAGTTATTGCCTTGAAACGTTCTTGATGGAAGTGAATCATGGATATAATTTGTATTCTTCTTTAAATTATTGCTTGACCTTTACCCAATAACAGTGCTTCATACTGCACCGACCAATTCATTGACGTGTATGTGATTTGATAATTTTTTCCCAATTAAACAAGCCTACCTATTCACTCGTATTCACATGCGATTTCTGGAACTTTACGTGTCATATTTGGAGATCGGGAAACTATGTTAGTAACTCATTTCTCCTCACAGATTTTGTGCATCATCCGAGCCATTCAGGCTCATCTGGAAACGTTTGTATTCGAAGGGACTGAGTTGAACCTGAATCCCAATTGCTACGTCTGTATCACTATGAATCCGGGCTATGCCGGTCGATCCGAATTGCCTGATAATCTGAAGGTAAGTTGGAATTTTATCGAATGATTCTACGTCTCTTAGTCAGATCTTTTTTGTGAAACGTTCCGTCATATATGACAACCTTCGTTCTCTCTTAAGCAGGAACAATTATGAATGTATAATCATTGGTTCAAAAACTTCAGTTACAAAAGCAGGATAGAAAGCACATGGAAAAAGTAGGAATGTGCATTAACACCACAAAGTTCTGTATGGGGTTAAGAGTGTATCGTGAACGGTTTTCCATACAAACCATCTATAATAAGAGACTGTCACAGGGATCAATTGACCGGAAGTAAATGAGGGGATGTACCAATGTCATTAGTGGTGCATAGTGTTGTCCGTCTAATTGCGATGCATCTCAACAAGAACCCAACCTGGGTATATTTTCCTCGCAAGACATCTGTTTCGCCTGCACCGTTTATTTCAATGATGTTGATGATTGCACGCTAAACTAAAGAAAATGCTCTTTTTTCAACAAATGAAGCCGTGGATAGGCTCGCATGCAGTCAGTATTATTTGTGAATCCGTACAAGGACCACTCGGTACGAATTGTGAATAGTTGGATTGATTATCAGACATTATTCTGTGTCGATTTGAGCTCTGTTAGGAGCAGTTGAACAGGTATTCTAGTTATAATATCCCGGTTTTCCGGACTGTTGTTGAAAGCCTTCCGAGGCAAAGCGGGATTACGTTTGTTCACATACAATTACAGAATTAAATCTGTGCACTATTCCATTGTTCGACTATTGCATAATGCTAGAACAATGACCATTTGGAAACCAGAATCTTTACAAATTCGCACGACCCATAGTTGACAAACTACTCTGACCAGTTTATTCGAACACTTGAATGACACGTGATGCCTTTATCCCTTTCATACCCTTATACAACGATTGTTCTCCGTTGATGTAAGGAGCTGAAAGTGTCGGCAGAATGTTTGCTTGGTTGTAGAGGCTTGAGTAGATACGGCAATGGTTTGACCACCGTACGATAGTGAACGGCCGATGGTTATGAAAACAGAAACTGAACTAACCAGTATAACTTGATGGGTTAGTTGACGGTTAGTTGATACAAAACGGTTATTAAATTTTGAGCAAATCTGTATTTAAAGCGTTACTATGAACTCTGTTGGGATAACCATATCGGTAACTGAGGTCACACCAGGCCGAAGTCTAGCACTGCTTGAGGGGTGCGCGGTCTTCCAAAATGACGTTGACTGGAAACCTGCTGGACGTATACCTGGAAAAGCTCAATTGATACATTGTGTTCGCTGAGACGGAGGTGGTAGTGTGGACACCTAACCCGCTTGAGAATCTCATCAGGCTTCACAACTGAGCTTCATAGAACATAATGAAAGTGTGATCAGATAGGGGTTTTTGTTTATTCGCTGTCTTCGTCCTTAAAATTATCTTGTTTGATTGATTGCTTATTACGTCTTCGAACAGTGCTTACCCAGGGCGAATCATCGAAACCAATGCAGATATATGTCTTTTCGGATAATTTTTAAAATGAGGAGACGTTTTTCAGCAACATTCCTACGTATTTGAAAATGTGCACCGTTAAATGCCAGCCCCACCAAGGATCATGTACATCACAAAGATTGCAAAATTTTGCCTTCCCTGATTTCACATCAGTGTAATCCCCTGAAATGATATTTCTTACATTTTCATTCTTTACTCCAAAAATACTTTATGCGCATGGCCTGTCAAATTTTCCACTGTTCTATTTCATTTTCGTTTTACATGCTAGGTTCTTTTCCGACCGGTAGCTATGATGGTACCAGATTATGCCATGATCGGAGAAATATCTTTGTATTCATATGGATTTATGGAAGCCCGAAGTTTGTCGGTCAAAATTGTGACCACTTATCGATTGTGCTCGGAACAACTTTCCTCTCAGTCGCATTACGATTATGGAATGCGTGCAGTGAAAGCTGTATTGTCAGCTGCGGGCAATTTGAAATTAAAGTTGCCGGATGAAAATGAAAATATCATTGTAAGTCAACCGCGCCAATCTGGTGGCCTTGTTAGCTATCTGTATCTTGGTTAGAATCATGCGTAGTTCTTTCTTTTCATTTTTCATTTTATTTTCTTTTAATGGATACACAAAGATACAATTTTCCGGAAGGGTGAAGCGGTCAACCAAAGGGCTGTCATTCAACACACACAATAGGGAGTCAGGTAGCGGTGGTGGTGGTAGGATTTGAACACACATCCTCCGGGGTGATAATTTGGTGTCTTTACCATTCTTTGAGTAATATTTATTCGTGAACCCAAATTTGGGCTGAGTTCGCACTGCGGTTTGTATGCATTTAACTGCGATGGAAATGTTTGTGATAACCAACAAAGAGCACTGGACAGTGGTTCGTCCTGTTTGGGACTCGACAGTAGTGCGCGGTTCGAGTTCTGACAGGGACACAGAAAGCACTGCTGACGAGTCCCAAACAGGACGACACAGCTGTCCAGTGCCCTTTGTTTCCGAAACTATTTTTCCATAGTGATACAGTGACCTTTTTTATACTTGCTAGTTTCCAAATTGTGCTTTCGGGTATCGCGATGATAAAAATTAAGTTTTATATATTCGGAAATTGATTCTGTTTAAAATATATATGTGTAGCACTGGTTTGAGAACAAGCATTGTATGTGAAAACGGAGGAAGATTACAAGAGTTCGGTTAAAGAGAAGGAGAACACCCTGAATAACAGTGTTTTGCATTTGTTCGGTACTATGATTGGAATTGATCGCCAATTCCAATATCTTTTCCCTTTAATGAATACTTATAAATGTTCGTGAGTTTATTCAATTGAGCCTTGGATAATTTTTCTAACGATCCAAGTGGTGCGCTTTTTTACTTTTGGTTTCAAACAGCTGCTACGCTCCATCCTGGATGTGAACTTGCCCAAATTTTTGTCCCATGACATCCCTCTATTTCGTGGCATTATTTCGGATCTATTTCCTGGCATTGTGTTACCACAAGCGGATTACAGTGTGTTTTTGGCAGAAATTGAAAAAGTGTGCAAAGAAGAGAATTTACAAGCAGTCGATTTCTTCACGGAGAAACTTATTCAGACGTATGAAATGATGATTGTTCGACATGGGTGAGTAATATGGAATAGAACTACCCAATTTGTGGACTTGGTGCTTAATGTCTGTGACGATTAATAAGGTTATCGAACAGGGGCAATGATTGATGAAAACGGTTCTCTTTTCCTGTATCTGTTTTAACTCTCATACTTCAGTTGCATTCCACACCATCTGGGAGAAAACACCGCAGTAGTTCTCTTTAAGCCGGACCGTACTGTCTGGTACCATTGAGTTAATCGTTCGGTCAAGAAGTTTCAGACGTAATATGCCGGTTTTGTTACATCTCTCATTCCCATACACCCGTATAATTATTGCGAAGTGATTAGGTTTACACCGTCCTTATCATCCGAGTCATCATAAACATCAAGCGGTAACAACAAGCGGTAAAATAGTGTACTAAACCATGGGTTAACTGAGATCACTTGTCGTTTCGCCGAAACCCAATGAATAATGATGCACAACTCTGGCAAAATCGAATTATTCATCCAAATAAGATTGATTTTAAGTGAGGTTTCTAAAATGCCTTCATCAGTTCACGACAGAATTATAAGTCTCGTGACTGAACATACGAACTCTTGTGAAATTTTTGTGGTATCAGGACTTTCGTGAAAAAGTCGATTTCACAGTTGCTTCTACAAAAGCATCGATCGCAGATTTTTTCTGTTAAAGTCAGTATATGACAATCTAGTAAATTAGGATGAAGATTGATCATGATTAGAAAATGCACAACTTGAAAACAACCGTTTTCAAGGGATTTTAAAATGAAAGTAAACTACCTATTAAACACGTGAGCAAACCAGCATGGAGGATTTTAGTATTCATAACTGAGGTTTCAATCCATTATAAAGCTTTTAAACAATGTATTTATTGAAGAAAACCAATTTATTACATTCAAACAACAATTAAAAAGTTGGTTCTGTGTCAGACAAATTTTAAACAAAGGTAAATGTGTGGTGATTCAATCAATGAGACATACTCTCAATGCATGATTGGCTTAAATGCCTTCGCTGTCCAGCCCTTAGTAGGGATAACCATAACCATGTGGATAACGATATCCATGTCGATATTGTCGTCGGTAATGTCGCATCTGACGTCGATACATGCGCTTTTGGGCCCGATGCATACGTCTCTGGTTTCTGTAATATCGTCGAAGCGAGTTTCGTGCTGGAGCTAAGACAGACTCTTTGGGTTCCATGACCACTCCGGCTCCAACTGGAGCGTGACGAGCGGTCCGGACCACGCCGTCCAGTTTTTGTTCAATGACATCATCCGACTTGGCTGGTTCGGCTGTACATATAACCAGTGTGTACAACAGAACTGCTACTGAGAAATAGGCACGCATGCTTGTCAGGTGTTGAATGACCAAATTTGCTCAGATGGGTTTCACTCCACTTATATATATGCATGCACGTCTGTTAGCTAAAACAATTGCGGGGTTCAGTCTCATGTGTGCTTGTTTGTGTGTATGCAAACATACGATTTCACATGATGTAATTTGCTAATGATTACGGACAAGTAGTTCCGGTCTTCGAGCGATCAGCCTAAGAAATCGGTTATCGCGATCGCTGGTTTGTTTATACATTTGACCTTAAGCACACCCATACATTGAATAGTTCATTTCGATTTCTCAATAAATGAATATCGGTCTATGTGATTTCGTCATAAACAGAAACTAGGTGAGCGACTGAAAATGTGCATCTACTACGAGGGGCGAATCATCGAAATTTGTTTTGCTAACAAATTGAATTGAACTAATAAAAATAAGGATAGTAATAAATAATAAATCAAATATAAATTTCTATCGGACTGTTTGGTTAGCACCGAAAGATATTAACCCTGCAACAAAATGGAGATTGATATTCGTCAGTATTTATCCAAACGAGCGTTCCAGAGTTGCGGTAAACCCTTGTTACTTCCTCTGTTTTCAACTTTTAGCAGACTTGGTTCAAGATCCATAGCGTACTTCCGGAAACTTCTGGCAGGTTTTTAACACATTTAGTATCCTGATTGCATTCATTTGCATAGAAGGCTTTATTATCAAAGTATATGAAAAATTCAACTACCAAATCTCATTCTGACATGAAGAAAACTTTAATCAAAACCCATGAATAAAGATATTTCATTATTGCCTGTGGAATTGGAATCTGCATGCTCACTAAAACACTGGTTAATCTTTAAAAACTCCACTTTATTATCACAGACTATCTGCTGGCAAGTTCAGCAAACTGTCACTCGGTATTCACTGACGATCAGTGCCCATGACTCTGTTGAAAAGCACACCGACAATCATACTTATTATTTGGCGATTAATTATGTACCGTCATAGTGTACATACCAAAGGTAGTATAATAAGCTAATGGGAATGTTTGAAAAAAAACTGATTTGTTTCAATTCTTTACAGTAGCAAGCTTGGATTTACCCATTCAACCTGGTTCAAATTTCGAAATATGTCCATACTTCCATTTAGAAAACCATTTCAGATGAACAATTGTTTTCAGTAACTCAAAATTAGGCCGCTGCGCTTCGTATGGGAGAATAAAACCTAGGGTTTGGGAGGGTAACATCAAATGTAAGGAATAGAGCACTTCATGTGTGTGTGCGTGTGTTTATGTGTGTTGCACACCACATTCTCAGATCTGTGCATCCGGGGTTTTCGGTTATGTCACGTTGGTCGTGACCCAGGTGTTATTGTGTGAAAATTTGTGCATGTGTGAGCAGGGGAAATGGGTGGGTTCGTGAACAGCGGAAAAGGAGAGCTTGGATAAGACGCTTCTGGGCACGTCGTTCGGGGGCCAAATGTTGAATACCTTATCGCTTCGGCTCTGGCCAACAGACACACTCGGAAATATTTTGACCAAATCGGGGAAATCTGATAGATAATGCGGAATGCTTTGCTTGGGTTAAA